ACCACCATCGCTGTTGACCCCGCCGCAACACTACACAACCATCGCCACAACAATAACAAATACTGACTGAAAAATCACAACCAAAAAAATCACGACCCAAACTGACCGAAAAATCACAACCCAACGCTGCTGCTGCAACGTGCAGCAGCAGATCGCAGCTGCTGATCTGCTGCTGCAAATCGCAGTAGCAACGGAGGGAGGGAGAGGGAAGAATAGCAGCAGCATGGAGAGGAAAAGGTAGGGAGAGGGAGGGGGAGAGGAGGAGGAGAAGGAGAAGGGGGGAGAGAGAGAGAGAGAGAGAGAGAGAGAGAGTAAATTAAGGTTTTAATGGAATAATTACTTAATTAAAATGATAAAAACCGAAAAATTGAATAAAATAAAGTCTAAACCAGATTTTTAAAAACTGATCTTTAAATACCTATTTTTTTGTAATTTCCTCTAAATTTGGCCTTATCATATAGCCGGGTGGGTCACTTCATTTTCCTTTTTTGGATTAATCCCACCATACACTATAAATGTCTAGTGTTACGATACATTTTATTCGACATATACCTTTTTAAAACACTAAAAAATAAATACACGAGTTAAATGTCTTATTAGTCACCAAACTTGTATCTCCATTAAAATTCACTCAACTTCAGAATGCCCTCAAGTGATCACTAAGGCTATGTCTGGGAGAAATTTTTTGGTGGATTTTAATTGCATTTTAGACCGTTGCCTTCTACTTCAGTCGGCATTGTTGACTTTTTATCTCACAATTGATCCCACATGCTATCAAATAACGGTCACAAAACCAATTAACATTTGGCTAAAAGTTGGGCCATACAGGCGCTAAATTTTAACATTTTGTACTCTATTACTCACTCATCATGTTGCATAAGTCACTAAACTTTAAAATGTTCCTAACTAGTCATTGAACTTTATCACTTCACACTCGATCACTCACCCACCATGTTTCCATCACATCAAATTTTCTATTTAGCGTATTTGTCTCAATTAGACGAAGTGCCTAAATTAAAACAATATTATAAAGTGGTTAATAAGTTGGAACAAAATAAGTTTGATGGCAAAACTGAAAAAAAAAATTATAAGTTCAGTGATTGCCACTGTTTTCAACATATTAGCAATGAGTTATTTTACGCTATTTCAACGGACTTTTAGATATAAAACTATTATCAAATACAAAATATGTAACTAATGAAATTTTTTTCGATAAAAATAATATGAAAAATTGTTATGTACATAAGTACCATAATGAGTAAAGATTAAAAACCTTAGGTGCAATTAAAATGTGGTGTGAATATTATTATCCATATATTTATCCACGTAATTTTTATATATCTATACTTCCATACCATTTTCTATATATCTTCTTTACAAATGTAATTTTCCTATTTTAACTGATCTCTTTCGAACTCCATAAGCACCCTGAAAATCCAGCGTAAAATCAAAAAAAGGAGAGAACAAATGACCAGTCTTCATCTCTTTTGTTGTAGAGCTTTTATTGATGTCATTGCAATTATATCCATTTTTCAGGGCATAAATTTACCAGTAAGCAGGCCTTCTAAATCTTATTCAAGAACAAGTATGCAGTCGTGGACTAAAGCTGATACGTGCTGCAAATCTTTCCGCAAATATCTTTCAACACAATTTTCAGACTTGATACGAAATTTTAAAGTTAGCCTGGAATGGTGGTGGGGATAGTGACGATGGAGTTGCAAAGAAAAGATAGAAAACCTCAATAATTTTCTTCAGAAGAATTTAATAAGAATAAATATTAGTCGATGAATTCAGACTGATATTTAAGTAAATTTATAAAAGATTAAAAATATAATAAAATTTTCTTTTTAAAAGTGAATATATGTATAACTCATGTAGATATAAATAATGGCTCCCTTAAAAAAATGTGTCCTATAAAATGTGTATTTAATCTAGTGAAAATTACCCTCACACCTACATTTAAATGTTCAATTCAAAAATCAAGTTATAACTATTTTTATTTTTTTACAAAAATCAGGTTATAATAATTATTTTTTTATTAAAAAACACATATAATTTATACATCAATCCCTCGACTAAAAACCCACCCAAACCCTAAATATCTCACCCCAATTCAACATATCGACACAACCACCGCCCTCTCTCACACATGTCGATGCACAATACGACGAAGAGCATCGATGCACCAAGCAGCGGTGCTCACCTTTGATCGTTTGATTTCCCGCAAATGAACGCGATCGTGAACAAGTAATATAATTGTGTGTAGAGTGTCGAACACACGAGAACCTAGTATTCAATCGAGTTCAAATTAATAGTAACCTTAATCGAATAGCAAATGAGTTTTGAGTTTTCAATACTAATATCTAAATTATCAATTAAACTAGGAAGCAATTTAAATGATTTTTTTTAAAATATGTGAAAGTATTGCTAAGATGTCGAATCAACTTTGTTAATTCATTTTTAGCACAATGAATTAAAATGATAGTGTTCCTAATTTAATTGAAAACATCTCTTGATAATTATCAAATATATTCCCCATATGTGACCCCCTATCTCTTGATGAAAGATGCAAACGTGATAAATGCATTAAATGATCCACAATACCTATGAAAACCATGTAAAGTATAGATGAATATCTCTATTCCTTATCGGACTTTACAATATTTATTATTTTTAGCTAAAAACCTATTATCTCTCTCGATAATAATATATTCCAATAAATCATCTCAATTAGTAGTTAATTCATTGAAAAGTTGATGAAAACAATAATAAATATCCAAGAACAATAAACATACTAGTCATCAAAATAATTAATTAATATTAAAAATTTCAAAACATTTGTTCATCTCATCCTAGGCTCCTAGCAATGTATAAAACTAACATAACTTATCGAAATTACAAGAAATCATATTTAAGTGAAAAGTCATAACTCGAATTTTTGATAAATTGAGAAGATGAAGATGAATTTTAAAATATTGAATCTCTTCAATAATTTATTGATTAATCAAGTGAAGATTCAAACTAAATTGATTGAAAATTACGTCCAAATTGGTTTTCAAAAAAGTTCCAATCGAATAAGGAATGTTGTCTTCACACTCGAATTTTTTATCTCTTCATAGCAGTCTGTATTTTGGCCATAACTTTCTCTCTCGATATCCAATTGAAGCGATTCAAAGTACATTGGAAAGCTAATTCAAAAGGTTACAACTTTTATAGAATTAGAATTTTTCCAATCCAGACATTTGCTATGCCGAAAATGGATCTCAATTTTCGACCAAAAAATCTGGAATATAACTTGTGCGAAAATTGATTTTGATCATATTCCATTCATTTTTGAGTTGTAATTCCATTCAATTGTCTCCTAGGAATCTTCGAAATATCATCTTGTAGTTCGAATCAACTATTGAATATTTACAATTTAGTACTAAAATTTTGGACTTCGCTCTTTTTCCTTGATTTTTCTTTTATTTCTTCCAATTCCTCCTTCAATCATTGAGTTTTATCGATATTTTAGGACCCCGAATAAGTGTAAAAAATACACTTATCAACCTTCTCCAAAGTATCGACGCTGCTTCACGCAAAGGCGATCAACTTCTCTAGGCATCGCTACGCGCAACAATGGTGCTTCTCGTTGCGGCTATCATCTTTTCCAAAGCAGCGTTGTCGATCACTTTCTCCAAGGGTTGCAAAAATCAGGTTCTCTCTCTCTCTCTCTCTCTTTTGGCGATGGATGGAGTTGGGGGTTGATTTGTTGTATATTGAAAGTGCAGATGGCGATGACAAATTTGGGGATTTTTTTGGTGGGGTGGTGTGGAAGAGAGAGAGTGGATTTGAACATGCGCTTGTTGATACAGGTGATGATAGTGCATTTGTGGTTTGTTGGAGTTGTAGCATGTAGGTGGAGGTGGTGGTTGTTGGAGTTGGCGATTGTAGGGTGGGATTCAGCGACAATGTGTGTGGTGATGGTGAGGCAGTGGTGGTAGCGGTGAAGTGGTGCAGTGTTGGTCACTAATGGTTGTGGTTGCAGGGTGGTGCAACGTTCGATTGGCGTCGAAGGTAAAGTGTGGGTGCGATGAATAGTGTTTGTAACTAATTATTTGAGTGATTGTGACTAATAAAATCATTAATTTGTGATCAATAAATAATATGTGATCGATAAAATATATAATTGGTGATCAATAAATAATGTGACTTAAAAAGATGTGAAATTGTGACTAAATTTGTAATCCGACTTACAATTTGTTAAGTTGTGACTAATTACTTTGATAATTTGTGATCAATTAATTTAATAAGTTGTGACTTTTAAAATTGTGATATGTTATCAAAAAATAATATGTTACTTATTAATTTGATAATTTGTGATCGATAAATAAATCATGATTGATAAAATTTGTGATTTGTTATCGATGAATAATACTTGACATATTAATTTGATAACTTGTTATCAATAAATAAGTTGTTACCTATAAAATTTGTGATTTGTGATTATAACATCTGTGATTATAACTAATACATAATAGTGATCGTAAATTATATAATATTGTAATCTTAATACATTTAATTAATAAAATATTTTTAAATAAAAATTAATTAAGACTTGATTTTTGAAATAATAGAACTAATTTCTTAATTTTGAAATTGTATTTTACAACTACCTTATATATGTAATATTCCCTTAAATCTATACCATATAGGTGCTTAATTACTTATTAAGTCCATGTTTGATACTGATTAAAATCTAAATTTTAATCTAAGTCAAAATCAACAATTAATTTTAATTGCTTATTTCATGAAATTCACAATATTTTAACTATATATTTTATCAATTTTTAGTAAAATCTACTAAAATTTTGATTTTGATTTCCATCAAACATGAGCTATAATTGCACCAAAGAATAAAAAATAAAAAGCAAAAATGAGTAAGATTCCCCCACCTTAAATATTCGGCTGGAGCCTGGAGGCTTGCGGGTGGGAGAGGATGAGGTTTGGGCCTAGTCCTAATTAACTGCTTGAACTGTAGCTAGAAATCAAATTTTTAATAAATTTTTATAAGTGAATTAAGTAATTTAAATTTGAATTAAGCCATTCGTACAGAATGGCTTGTACAGAATATTCACATGGGGTGTGGGTCCCATCTGAGTAAAATATTGTCAAAAAATCACCTTGTGTCTTAGTTTGTACAAATGAATATGTAAGAATAGCATAACTCTTTAAATTTGGTATTTCTCAGCTAAAACAGATTTTCGTTGATAAAAAAATTTCATTTAATCAAACTATTTCCACCAGTTGATTTACCTGCAACAACAAAGTTTCGCCACAAAGAGCAAAATTTTGTCATGAATTTTTTTGTTTATTCTTTTTGATTACTTGTAAAATAGGTTTTATACCCAATAATTTACATACAATAGTGCAAGTGCATCCACCAAAAAGACAAAATTCAGAATCAACCTTAAAAAACACAACAAAATACTCTCAAAAAAAATTAAACTAAATTGCTTTTGTGAAAAAAATGTAAACTGCTAAGTGCAATGGCCAGATCTAAGGCCGTTGGCAGGGCTTTTGAAAAATCAAAAGCTACTTAAGAATTTGCTCTTGGTTATGTTTGATTAAGTTTCAGGAAGTGTTGTATATCCAGAAAAGCTTTTATAGGAGCAATCAAAGCAGAAGCAACAGCTGAATCTTGCCAAATGGGCCTCTAATAGGATAATTACAACTACCTTCCTAAGGTTATAATGCAAATAAATTTACACTGTACAAAGTAGCAGCACCTTTTAATTGACACATTGGAGCTGAGTGCTCAACAACACAGCCTTAGGACTCCGTCCTATATTTTCTCCAATCAATTGCCAGTTTTCAATCCATGGAACTCGTTTCTGCACCTCCATCGTCTTCACTAAAACTAGACGGAATCTCAGCCACAGACCTAAAGCATATTAACATATGTGCAGTGTTAGCAAAAATATTGCTCCATTTCGAAAGCTATACAAACAAATGTCATTCCCTGTACCGTATGCACAAAACATTGCAGGGCAAAATAGATAAACAAGTATTAATCTCCATAGAATAACATATAGGTAAAATGTGCAATAGCGCCACATGCCCACGATCCCTTTATTCATTATGGGGACACTTGTGCTTTCTACCAAACAGTGCAATGTAACGTGTTATGTTCACCAACACTAGACTAAAGACCAAGCACTTGATCTATTTGTGAGCGTTGGTGACCCACCAGTGGGGATCTAAAGGTCCTTGCGCATGCATACCATTTGCGAAAATTGTGCGCTTAGGCCTGTGGTGAAAAAGTTAATTCGGTTTCCCTGTGAGGGGGAGCGTTGAGCACTAAACTTAAATAAATAAATGTCCCTTGGGTTTGTGGAATAGTGTAAAACGTAGTTCTTCAAATCAATGCTATAATGTTGTTGAAAACATAAATTAAACAATTAGATGTCCCCCCTTTCTAAGAGCTTAGGCTTTCAAATGAAGTGGCTTAACATGGTACAAAGGCATATAAAAATCAAAAAGTCTTTAATTTGAGTCTAACCACCATCCATATATGAAAATTGTCAACGTGTCAGGCCTTTGGTGAAAAATGAATAGGACTTAACGTGTGAAGAAGCATGTTGAAAATATAATTTAAAATAATTAAATGTTATCCCCACCCTAACAGACTAAGGTTTTAGACATGAAGGTTTACCAAACGCACTGCTGCTCAATGATATTGATATAGGCAACAACAAACACATTTCATCTCCTGGCTTCCTTTTCATTACTTCTTTCACGATGATAGAAAGGAGTCCGCGTCAGTCGAAGTGTTAGTACTATTTATAGGGACAGAATTAGATTTATACACGTGTAGGATTAAGCACATTTAGATATCAGTTGAGGCTTGGAGAAGGGACTAATCAGGGACAGAATTCAGGCACATAAAAATCTTAAGATGCAAAGATGCTCCTAAAATCCTCAAAATCCTGCAGCCAAATTAAGGGAGCGTATTAGTTCAAACCTTGGGAGTTGATATGTGCATGGATGGGTATCTATCACAGACAGTTTCTTCCTATTCAGTTGCTGAGAAAATCCGTCTCTAACTCTTTTTGAATTCTGTGTATACGAAAAAAATGTTAAACAGATTAAAAAGAACAGTACCCCTGCAAAAAAATAAAAGCATTGACAGGAGCACAAAACTTACACTCATTCCATTCTTCGGGGGAATTTTAACTCCATCCAGCTCAGAAATTTCATTCGTTATTCTCTCCCTGTAAACTTCGGCATCCTATACATCATTGTCAAAGAACAAAGCATCAGCAGAAGAGCCACAACCTGCACAACAATTGGCAGGAATACACAAGTTAAGTTTAAACCTTTATCGTTCTTGGCATTCCTTTGTCTTTGGAATTGTGATATTCGTTTCCCTTAATGGTAAAATTTGATGGAGTGTATTCAATGTTTCCTCCACGGGAAACCTTTGGGCCAACGTCATTATACTTATTGAACAAGGGCTCAGTCCATTCCCCTCTCACTTTCCCACCATAGGTTTGCAGATGAGGATGGCTAGAAACAGATTCCATTCTCATCACTTCAATACTATGTCGGGGCCTCTTTCGATAACTGTCTCTACTGTCATAGTCTGGCATATAACTTCTAGAAGCTTCAGGAAAATGCACTGGCGAATTAATCCTAGGATCCAACGTATTAGTCTCCATCTTCAACTTCTGCTGGAGGTAACTTCCAGAAATTTCAGACTCACGCATCATTCTAAAATTTGTTCCATCCATGCCAGTGTCACGAGAGCCAGTGTAATTGTATTCATATCCCTGTTGAGCATTTAAATGAAAGAAAACAAAACAAATCATATAAAATCAGATCGCTGACATTTTCTATATGAGTTAAAGATTGTGTCCACTACAAAACTTGCCTCTCTGAAATTAGGACACTTCTGGATTTTTGGACCATCAGGAGTGGACTGAAGAACTCGTTCTCCAGCATAATAAGGTTCTGGCGAGTATATACATTAGAAACAAGTAATATTCAGGAAAACCGGATGAATAATTTCAAGAAAAAAAAGGATCAGATGGAATTTTTTGAAGCACCTAGATGTAAAGAGAAATGATGAGTACATAAAATATTGTCTACGTGCAAGATATACCGAATACCTCAAGAGACATAGGATATACTTGGAAAATCTTTTATGTTAATTGAAACAGAGTGCAAAAATTCTTAAATCAGAGAATGATAGCAATTAAGAGCTACAAACAATTAAGCCCCTGTTTGGTGTAGATTTTTATTAGATTTTGATAAAAGTTGATAAAATTCGTGGTTGCGAAGTTGTGGATCCATGAAATGTATAGATAAAATTAATTGCTGACTTTGACTTGGGGTTTTTAGAAGATTTTAATCTACACCAAGCAGGAGCTAAGGTAAAATGGCAAAAGGTGTGTCACATGCTGAGACTAAAGAGTAGAATCAGAGTTTGTGCTCAAAACTTGTTTTTGGACATTAAGAAAGTAAAATTACCCAACAATAAGCAATTATAAGATGAATGCAGAAACTAGAACGCAAACACACAAAGTGGAAAAAGTCACGTAAGCTCTGAAAATAGAGAGTTGAAAACAAGAATAATCCATGCCAAGCAAGAAATCATTCACGCGTAGATTATTTTTACTACATTGGAAACTTTATAGCAGGAGAAGTAATTTTCCCTGGAGCTCCTGTTTAGTAACTTCCAATGAACATTGCTTATGTATTGCAGCCTACTGGTTGCTACATACACACATTATCAGTCATCTGATTTTTCTAAACATGTTATGCATTCAATACAATAATAATCAATAATTTTTGCTGAACTCCCATAAAAATATGAACTCCAGATGCTTCTCTAAACACAAGATATTCATCTTCTCACCAGCAATTGCATTATGTACTGACTATATTTTCCATCTTGTGTGCTTATTTTCATTATCTTCCATAACAAATCTATAGCATTAGAGGTGCAAAAATCAAGTAACCTCTCAGACCTCTCCTTGAATAACAAAATTTGAATTGAACAAGGCACCACACTACATAAAGCAAATGGAGATAAACAAACCAATATAAATATTCAAGCACAGACAAACTGTGTGAGTTCATAAAGATAGAACAGCATGATGTAAAGGGTAGAAAAGCATTTACCATTATCTGGTTCCTGCTCTGAAGACTCAAATGCACCAGGTGGAAGTGGATCAAATTCAATACAAAGTGGCGGACCATCTACCCGGTAATGACTTCCCAGCTGCTTTTTTACAGCAATAATAGCAGCGTTTTCAGCGTGACCTATCACTTTTAAATAACCTGATGGGCCAGACCGAACTTTAACATCCTTCGTATCCACAGGAAACTTTGGTGTTAGGTACTTCGAGCTTGCCACATCAAAAAAGTCACCATTACGATGGGAAGACATATTCCGTAATGATGAACTACCTCCTGATGATGCATCATTTCTATGATTATAGTTACTGGTATAGTGATTACCAGGCTCATACCTCAGGTCAGCAGCAGAAAATTCTTGGCCGGCTAACCTTTCACTTTCAACTTCTTTGGTGTCAAATATCCTATCTTCTCCCAGTTTAGTGCTACCTAAGGAGTCTTGCTTAAATCCACTGCCACCATCCTGTATAATCCCACTTGAACGATCTTGTCTCCCGATTGCAGATGGTTCCCCATTCAATAATCTCTTGTCCTTCAACCTTCTGTGGCAAAACCATCCAGAAATTTGCTTTTCTGACAGTCCTAATGACTCTGCAAGTTGCGATTTCATCGATTCCGTAGGATATTTGTGTTCTGGGAAAAGGACAAGTTCTTCTTAACAATTGGGTATGAGGATAATACATTAATGAGAAAGCATATGGCAAGGCATGACATACAAGAAGAGAAAGTTTACCATCATAAAATTTTTCCAAAGCATCAACCTGAGCACGTGTCTTCACTATCCTTTTCTTGCTTTTCTCAGCAAGAGCTTTATCATCTTCTGAACGCACCTCACATGTTTCTAAATGATTAACAGAAAACAAACAAATAATATCTGAGATAATCAGCTAAACATACATTAAAGTAATCATGCGCAAGGAAGTCCAACATAAGTCTAAATGGTTTCTGAGTTGAACTTATGATATACACCAGCACTGGGTCCAGTGCCCCTTTCTCATGCTCAAATAAACAATTAAAAACCTTAATTCAAGAACTTGGACCCTTATTAACCTAGATTGCAAGAATCAAAATAAAAAAATGGCATTCTTGTATCAAGGAGGAAACTTAAATTTAAAGTTCCATTTTTCTATTTTCAAGAAGAAATAATACAGAAAAGTTTATAAAGGTGCATAGAAGAGACCTTAATTGTGTACAACATAATGCAACTCGAATCAGCTCATCAAATCAATAGAGGACACATTCTTCACATTGTATCTCTTAGCTTCAAAAGGTAATACGGTGCATATCATCATAATGCGACTCGAAATCCGCTCATCATATCAATAGATGACACTTATTGTCAACGAAATCATGGTATATTTTTCAAGAACTTCGAACAAGTTTTTCGACAAAAAATTTAATATCAGCCTTAACTTATATCAATCAGAACTTGCAAAAACTTATAAAGTGGCAGTGTCTCCTAAGTCATTGGAGATTTAGAAATCAAATGCATCTGATCTTCCATGTGCCCACGATGCAAGATACCAAAAATTAATAAGAAAAATAATCCTCCAAGAATTAAGTTACAGCAATGTGGAGATCTCAAAAATTTTGCAAGTCATATAAGATCAAAGAACCGCAAATTACAATATGCATTTGAAAGGATAATGCAAGAATAGTTTTCAAACCACAAAGAAAGGTCCAACTGCAGAACCCAAAAGTATAATTTTTTTAAAGGTTGTTCCTGGTGCCTCAAACATTGTACTTTGCCCTCAATTACCAGCTGCTTCAGTGGGCGTTCTTAGACACCCTCTCATTAGAAATTTTATAAGCCAAATTATCACGCATTGAGTGTGCATTTTTGTGTAAAATTATAGGGAGGACCCAATAAATGCGATTGACAAATACAAACGAAAACCCAGAAATTAAAACCAAGCACAGGCAAGCTTCTCCCAAAATGCAATGAAAACTGTCAGGTTAAACCAAAAACCCCCAAATCGGGGATTTCCAAAGAAACCCGTCATGGCATCAAACATTCGAAATCAAAATACACATACAGATTTATATCAATCATGATCCGAAACAAGATGAACTGAAATTCTAAAAAAAAAAATCTGCACCTTCTTCCATGAGTCTTTTGTTTGATTTTTCCCCGAAATTAATTTACTTCTCCCCTACTTACTCGTTGCTTCTCTATTGACCCATCAACATTTCATTAAACGGGGAATTCAAGAAACAACAGAGATGAAGAAAGAAAGAAGTTTTATGGGTTACATGAGAATTTTAGTCCGAGTAGAAGACTGGTTACAAGGGAGAAAAGGATTTATTGTTTTCTTGTTGGAAAAAAAAGTTGGGAGGAGGAGAATCAAAAGTTCTTTCTTCCGTCATTTGTTATTACTTATAATTATTTTATTGTTTTGATTTCTGAATTGCCTGGAAATTGCAGTTAATCAATTTGCTTTTCTTCAATTAATATGGGATATTAATGTTTTTCTTGTTCTTCATTAATCTTTACAATTCCCCGTTGATTTTGTTGATTACTGCTCAATATTTTGAAGCGTGTTTAGAACGGTTTTGACTCGGAAAATAATCAAATTAGTTGCAGTGTTTGCTTAATTATTACATTTACCCATCGATTACTCTCCTGTAAATTTCACATCATCTTGCTGGAAAAATACAGTTGATGGGATTTAACAAGCAGATTAGATTAGAAAGTGAATTAGTTCAGATTTTTCATTTTTTTTTAAAAAAAGTAATTTTATCAAGCCTATCACCTCTTAAATAAAGGTTTGGAAAAAAAAAATTAAATGAAAATCGACATTTTTCGGAGAATACATATTTTTCCAAGTAGGGAAAATTACAGAAAGAACATTTTCCAAACAAATGCTAAATTTAGACATCGTAATCCTCAATTAGATCTTCGTGTTAGTCAACTTGTTATTTTCTTTTTGAATAATACTATACAGCATCACAATTTAAATGTGATTATGAAACGGCGAACTCCACCAAACAAATACAAAGCACCAACGGAGAGATGTGAACCATCAACATTGTGATTCATAGCAAAGTGCTTCAATGCTTTGAGCTAGAGCTTCTTTCGTATCAACTAGACTGACTCCTAACAGAGCCTCTATAAAAAGCGAATTAAGTTTTCATTCTGGTTTTCTTTCGAACCCTCAAATAATGATGATAGAGTTGACAATATTGAGAGAAAATATGCTACATTAGTCAAATGAATGAGCACGTTCAATAAAAAAGAATCTTTTCATATTCTCTCTCTTTCTTTTTTCTTTTTTCTGGTATTAACAAAATTCTCATTTTTTTGCTGAGAAGTTAAATGTAAATTTTCAGCTAAAATTTAAAGACTATTTTAAACCATGGCTTGTGGAGCATATCTCGGATTGTTAGTTAATTTTTATGTAATGATCCTTTCATAAGCTGCGGGTTCTTGATCGAGCCGGGTATCTCAACAGAAAATTGATATTTTCCCGTATAAGCTTGTTGGCTTTACTTTTATATGTAATGGCTCGAATTTTTTACGTCCTTCTAGGCTTGTTTAGGAAGTATTTATAAACAGTGCATTATAAATAAATAGAAATGAGTGATGGGTAAGTAATAATACTCGTGAGTCCACAAAATGTGTGAATAATAAAAAAAATTGACCAATTATAAATAATTTATAAATATTAGCCAATCATTTCAAAAGTTTCACGTTGCTTTGGTTTATTGAAAGTCGGGCTCTACCATCTCTATTATATACTTTTTTGAGTAAATATCACACGTTTATTAACTTCTCATTTCAATAATCAGGTACAAAAAGTTTTATTAAAAAAAATCCAAGTACACCCACCCCACCTCACCTACCCTATCCTACACCCCAATGACCCTATACACCCATCGATGCCCAAACCATGTCCACACAAAATAACTACGTCGCTTTCTCTCTACCATCTCTCTATTTAATGCTCAATCCGTTTGGCCACCACCCATCAACTTCAGCTACCATCATGAAAAACCAACCACTGCCTTCCTCACTTACAAGAGGTGGTGGATTGGTGCACAAGATCTATATCACTATCTCACCTACATCATCTATGACCTTCATCGCTGCTAGGTCGTTCTTTCCGCTCGGAGCACCATAGCTATGTTTTCCCTCTCTCTTCTTCTCAAAGCCCCTTCGATTCACGATGTCAAGGACTCCAATACGCCCACACTCTAGTTCGATCATCGATGGTGGTGAGTTGGTGACTCGAGGTGGCAGTCGTCAGATGGCTTCAGATATGGTGATCATCGATGATTGTAGATGATGTGCATGTGGTAGAGGTTGGCAATGTGATTTGTGGTGGTGGTTGTGGTGTAGAGAGGTGGAGGTAGAGGTAACAGTGAATTTGAAATTGTGGTAGTGATGTAGTGGCGGTGACGCTACATCTCCGATTGTGCGTATATGTGTGTATTTATGATTGGGGGATAGTTGTGGTAAGTTGGAGGTGAAGATGGTGGTGGCGATGGTGTCGTTTGGTGTGGTACTGGTGGTAGGGGGGGAGGTGGGGTAGATAATGTTCGTGATCAATTATTTGAGTATTGTATCTAACAAAATGAATAACTTGTGACCAATTGACAAATGTGTGATTTGTGACTAAACATTTATTTGTGACCTACAATTTGTGTCATTGTGACTGTAACTTTATGCGATTTGTAATTAATACATGAATGTGATCACCAGATTTTTGAAACCTTTTTCACAAGTTTCTTATTTTTGAAAGCGTATTTTGAAACTTTTGTAATTATATATTTTTTCCTACTTTTTCTCTCTCTTGTCAATGGGCCAGTTTTGTTGGGGTCTCCGTTTTATTGTCTGTAATGGCTCGATTTGATGTTATTAGTTTTACTCTTTTGCTAACTCTTTCGTGAGTTACACCTGCTTAGCTCGTCTTCCTCCAAGATGCTCTAGGGGCAGGGCGGTGGGAGGCCCTCAAGGTTGGGGTTCAACCTTTTTTTTTTTACACTTGCTTTGCTCCATTGAAAATCAGGCTCTACTCTTTCCTTATTAATGAGAGTTTATACAATTTTCTTGGTTTTATTAAACAAGAGTCGTCACTTGTTAGCATATGATGAGACTCAAAAGCCCTACTTGACAATCCAAAAGTAGAAAAATCTAATACATTTAACTCGTGTTACGATATAATTCTTAATTTTTTATTCTCTTCATAAAAACTCGCGAGATTCAATTGAAAGATAGAATTTGCAATTTTTTAAAAGAAACTCATGATATTTTAGCGAAAGTCAGACTCGTCAAATTTAAAAAAGAAACTCGCAATGCTTAAGTGAAAGCTAGACTTGTCAAATTTAAAAAAGATAGGTGCTTTTCATAATTCATCTTATCTCATTTCATTTTCTTTTTCGTAGTCGAAAAGAGTTTGAAATATTCAAGAAAGAAAAAGAGAAAACATGTAAAAATGCCCCCAAAGTATTATAATACTTCTTATCTACATACATATTAATTGTTAAGTACTTAGTATTAGACATTGTTATTAATAAAAATTTTAAATTCTTCTATCTTCTTAGAGCATGTTGGTTCAACTTATAAGTAAGTCAAATTTATGCGAGTTTCAAAAAAAAAAAAAGTCATATTTATTCGAAAAGTAAGGTGCCGTTCTCTTTGTGTTTCAGTTTTGTGTTTTGAGTTTTGAATTTGTTTTGTGTATTGTGTTTTAAGTGTCTGTTTTGAAATTTCTGAAAATGCGTTCTCTTTAACATTCTGAAAAACTATTTCCGAAAACTTCTAGGTCGTTCTTTCCGCTCGGAGCGTCACAACTATGTTTTCCCTCTCTCTTCTTCTCAATTCGATTCGCAATGTCGAGGACTCCAATACGCCCACACTCTAGTTCGATTGACGATGGTGGTGAGTTGGGGACTTGAGGTGGCAATCGTCGTATGGCTACAGAAATGGTGATCATCAATGATTGTAGATGATGTGCATGTGGTGGAGGCTGGCAATGTGATTTGTGGTGGTGGTGGTGGTGGTGTAGAGAGATAGAGGTGGAGGTAGAGGTAATAGTGAATTTGAAGTTGTGGTAGTGATGTAGTGGCGGTGACGCTGCATCTCTGATTGTGCGTGTCTGTGTGTATTTATGATTGGGGGATGGTTGTGGTAAGTTGGAGGCGAAGATGGTGGTGGTGATGACGTCGTTTTGTGTGGTATTGGTGGTAGGGGAGGGAGGTGGGGTAGATAATGTTCGTGATCAATTATTTGAGTAATTGTGAATAAAATGAATAACATGTGACCAATAAATAATGTGTAATATAAACAAATGTGTGATTTGTGACTAAACTTTTAATTGTGACCTACAATTTTTGTCATTGTGACTGTAACTTTATGTGATTTGTAATTAATCTGTGAATGTGATCACCTGACTTTTGAAACCTTTTTCATAAGTTTCTTATTTTTGAAAGCGTATTTTGAAACTTTTGTAATTATATATTTTTCCTACTTTTTTTTTTCTCTCTTGTCAATGGGCCAGTTTTGTTGGGTCTCCGTTTTATTGTCTGTAATGGCTCGATTTGATGTTATTAGTTTTACTCTTTTGCTAACTCTTTCGTGAGTTACACCTGCTTTGCTCCATTGAAAATCAGGCTCTACTCTTTCCTTATTAATGAGAATTTATACACTTTTCTTGGTTTTATTAAACAAGAGTCGTCACTTGTTAGTATATAACGAGACTCAAAAGCCTTACTTGACAATCCAAAAGTAGAAAAATCCAATACATTTAACTCGTGTTACAATATGATTATTAATTTCTTATTCTCTTCATAAAAACTCGCGAGATTCAAGTGAAAGATAGACTTTGCAATTTTTTAAAGGATAATTGGCGCAAAACGTCCCTACCTTTGACGATTTTTGTGCAAAACGTCCATATCTTTCTTTTTTGGCACAAAACATCCCTACATTTGCCTTTTTTTGCACAAAACGTCAATTTCGTCTCTTTTTGACCCTTTTACCCTTCTATGAAAATAAAACAAAAACAAAAGAAAAGAAATATACAGAATAAATTGTAATTATGAGTCCAAACTTTTTAAAATGTGTAAATCAATCCCAAATACTAAAAAATCAATCACCCCCTCAGCCACCTTTCCTTAGCCCCAACTCCGGCAGATTTGGCCAGAAATCAAATTCAAAAATTACAACGCAGATCCAGTCGGCGCGCTCGCAAGTTCGCTGGTTCTGACAAAATTGAAGATGATTCCGGCCAAATTGAAGGGGACCCATGGCTGGGCTTGGTGCGCCAGGTGATGGCGCACCCAGCCCAGGTGGTCCACCGTGGGTCGCCTCACCTGAACCAGAAACTCACTTTGTTGGTGCGCTGTCGTGCCCGAACCAGCAAACTCGCGAGCGCGCCTACTAGACTGTCTTTACTTTGAAATCGGTGGTTGTTGGTTGCTCGTTGGAGGAAATCGTTTACATAGGTAGCTTCGACTTGATGAGTGGAGTCGACCAGTGGTGGATTCCAGCCGGTTGGATGGTCGGGCGGCGAGTTGTGGTGGATTCCAACAATGGGTTTTGTTCTTTTTGATATTTTTATATGTTTTGGACTGATTTGCATTTTTTAGAAAGTTTAGGAGTAATATTACAATTAATTCTTGATTTTTCTTTTCTTTAGGAGGGTATATTGGTCATTTTATGTTAAAAATTGGTTAAAATGATGTTTTGCGCCAAAAAAGTGAAAAGTAGGGACGTTATGCGCCAAAAAACGAAAGGTAGTGACATTTTGCACAAAAGCCGGCAAAGGTAGGGACGTTTTGCGCCAATTACCCTTTTTTAAAAGAAACACATGACATTTTAGCGAAAGTTAGGCTCGTCTAATTTAAAAAAGAAACTCGCAATGCTTAAGTGAAAGCTAGACTTGTCAAATTTTAAAAGGATAGGTGATTTTCATATCTCATCTCCTCTCCTCTCATTTCATTTTCTTTTTCGTAGTTGAATAGAGTTTGAAATATTTAAGAAAGAAAAAGAGAAAACATGTAAAAATACCCCCAAAGTATTATAATACTTCTTATCTGCATACATATTAATTGTTAAGTATGTAGTATTAGACACTGTCATTAATAAAAAATTTAATTTCTTTTATCATTCTTAGAGCATGTTGGTTCAACTTATAAGAAAGTCAAATTTATGTTAGTTTAAAAAAAAGAAAAAGAAAATAGTCATATTTGTTCGAAAAGTAAAATTTTGAGTTACTATGTAATTCAAAAGTCGAAAAAAAATTATTTTGACAGCAAAATAGATATTATTATCTAAATAAGTAACTTTCTTATCGTACAAAAAGAGTTGTTTACCCTCAAACTTATTATTTACGTGGTAAATTTGGCTCGACATCTTTGTATATTATCTAGGACAATGTAGATTAACATTCTTCAAGTGTTTTATAATAAAATTAAGAAAATTGTATGCTATGTTATCCCAGATTGAAGTGTGATCAAACATTCAAAAGCAAAAATTAAATACGAACACAACAATTTTCACCCAACGGTGTTCAGTCAAAGGCCTGCTCACCCGTTGAGTATCCAGAGTGCACCGTACCAATTAGTCTGCATACCTACTATACTAAAAGTAAGATTTTTCACTATCCCTTTCCTAAAGCTAATCTTTAAATTCACTTGCCACATGTATATTCAACTGATAGTTCAATGCATAAGCTGTGGAAAAAGAGAGAGAGTTTCGAGGACCACAAAAATAAGCTGATTATTTTTGTGGGCACTGCTGATAAGTACACGAGCCCACTAGAAGATGCGAAAATATGGGACCAATTGTTCCATGAAGGGACCATGATTTTGATTTGTGGTTCATTCTTCTTTTTCAAAAAGTGCATAGCTCGTGGTGTTGGTCATTATCAATTGGACATTTTGATTATATATATAAACTCAAACTATATTTTTTACTGTCAAAATCAAACTCAAATAAAATGAAGAGTTGCAGCACGTTAGATCGTACGACATGATTCCTAGTCAAGTCAATGTAGAAAGGATAAGTGCCACATGACTCGGCCCATGATTTTGGGATATTGTATCGCCATATATTCACCCTATAACAACTTTTTGTTCTATAGAGAAATGATCACCTTCGTGATTATCCCCCTCGCGTACTTATTCTCCCGCGAAAGGGAAATTTCCCACCTCTTTTAGGTCATCGGGCGAAGGAGCTTATTATGACAACTTCAATTTTTTTCAGAAGGCATCAATGTAGTAACACTAGTTCAAGTAACTATGAAAATGGAGTAACTATTTGATCTTCCTTCTAAAAGATTCTTCAACTCGAATTGATAATATCCACCAAAAGTTCGTCGAGATACTATTCAACACTTCAAAGACGATACTTGAGATCTAAACCCACGAGAAAGATGTTGTAGGGGCGACTCTCCATGAACTCCTTCGCATTTAAGTTTGAAAATTGTAAATTCGAGAGCTTATAGAATGATTTGCACATATAGTAGAATGCCTATATATGGGTGGCATAATTTTAGGCATCATACGATAGTATTATAGTTAATACTCAATTTGATATCGAACAAAGCGATGGGATTAATTATCGAGAAAACGAAATTGTGACGAACTGCAATATTTTTTTTTATTGGTATTGGAATATATTTGGATTGGTATTATTATTATTATATAAAGTTAACAGAATTAATATATTATTTAATGATTTTTATCCATTAAACAATACTTCTTTAAAAATGTGGTATATTGAACTCTTTGTTAACATTTTATTATCTAAATAAAATAAAATAATTTATTATTTTTAATGTATTGATTGAATATAAAATTTGTAATCTGAAATTGTAGTAGGCTCATCTGAATTATTAGCTTTAAAAATTAATTTTACATTGAAAAGGATTTTTTTCCTACATGCCTGATTTAGTTTATGAGTCAAGGTGACATATAATCAAGTTAAATTTATTTAAACGGCATTAAAATTAGCCCCTGTTTGGTATTGATTAAAATCGGCTAGTTTTTCAATTTTAATCCGATTTTAATCTCTACCAAACACACTCTAGATTTTTAGTAGATTTTGATAAAATTTGATAAAATATGTGGTTGAAAAGTTTAGATCTCATAAAATATGTGATTAAAATTAAGCCCCTGTTTGGTACACATTAAAATTCTCATTCTCATTATTCTATTTATTTTCAACCACACATTTTTTTAATAAAATATTATTTCCATCACATCCATAACTTTTCCTTCTTTTTCAACCACACATTCTCCATCAATCTACTATTTCAGAATACATTCTTTCAAAATAATGTGGCTCAAACAAACCCTAATTGTTAACTTTAATTTAGATTAAAAAACAAATTTTAATTGATACCAAACACGGGCTTAATTTTTACTTATTTGTAGGTGAAAAAATTAGTTTGCGAAGGTATATTTCTCATCTTCTTTTCCTTTAATTTCTTTTACCATTCATATCTTTAACTCTCGCCATGTTTCTCGAGTCCTATCTTTCAACTTCTATTTTAAATGTCACATCTAAAAAAAAATGAATTTTACTGTAATCATTTGATTGTAACGTGAAAATGAAAATCGAATTTTAAGGTACAAAAAAACGAATTTCTATGAATTCGATGAATTTTTATTTTTCAATTAACAAGAAATTGAAATTCTCTTCCACCTTTGACTATCAAATGGAAAGGGAAAAGTGATTTCAACACTGTGTGGTAAGTCAAACTTAATCATAAGTTGTTTGTAAGCTGCATTAAAAATTCACTTTATTTTCTTCTCGCTTCAATTTTCTACACAATTTTTTTCATTATCGTTAGTCCACCTCCTTTCCTTTCCCTTCCCTCTCTCCTTCTCTCTCTTACGTACTTTTTGCTGCAAACTGGTAATTCTCAGATCAAAATTCTTAAAGATTCTACTTACTCCCTCTCTCTGTCTACACTTCTTTAGATCTCTCTCTCACACACACACTGACGCGCAGAAAACTTGGAGCTTAGCATAGCCGACAATTGATATCCAAAATTACAGGAATACCCTTTTTTGGCCAGTATCAAGTTGCATTTGGTGGAATTTCTACAGTTTATGTTGCAGCTGTAATTAGAGGAAGCTTAACAAAGAAGGCGTATTGGATGAGTTTGATTGATGAATGTTGGGTTTAGATTTAGGTCTTGTTTGGGGAAGTGGAAATTCGTTATCTGATGTCAAGAATCGTCGATAGAATGCACAATTCTGACAGCAGTAGAGCTGGTGGGCCTGTCGAGAGAGACATCGAGCAGGTACTACAACCACCACCTGGAGTCAATAAATTTCAGTCCCAAGTTTCAGTTCCCGTTTGCTTAGAGTTTAAACTTATGCTGCTTTTAGTGAGAGTTTGATTAGTTATCTAGTCCAATTGTTTGTTGATTTTAGATTACTTCTCATTCCGTTTAATTAAGCTAATTCGGATACTGGAAAGTGTGTAAATACTAATAGCGGAATTTTAGGCTTTTATATTTATTGAATTTGTCGTGCTTTATGTTCATATAAATATTTCATCCATTTTTGGGAGCAAGAATGGGACCCTTTTTTCGGGTTTTGTATTGAAGATCATGGTAAGAAACTGTCACCACGCATCAAATAGTAGCGATTTTCAGATTGATAAATGTATTGACATATCGTTTTCAAATGTCATTATCCATGTTTTCAGTCAGTGACAATTTTGTTCCTTCAGTGCCCTTTGACAGAAGGAAAAGGAAACCGGAAAAATACTCCAGGATTTTGCAAAGATTTCCTTTATTTGGTTTATCTTGCACTTGTTGTATTTCCTTTTAAGGTTCCAATGCTATATGCTTTTTCCCTTTCGCGTTTCCATTGCTTTTGTACACTTTATGCCCATCCCAATTTTCATTTTGTTCTTCTGTTTAAGTTTATGAACTGGCGACTAGATGGTAATCTACAAATTAGCCAATGTTAAGGTGTAATTGAAATTTAAAAAAACTATATTTGAAACTAAATATATACACAATAATGCATTTTGAAATAACTTGAAAGTTCTGCAGCTGTCTGTAAATGTTTTCTGGCATCTAGGTTAATCCTGTTAGGCTATTCCCAGCATTAAATTGGCCTATTTATTTATTTATTTATTTTTGCAAAAAGCTGATATAGTCTATTTAGTCAAAAGTTGTAGCAATGTCATCTATGCATCTGTCAGTCCTTCCTGATTTCAATGGGTTAATCATTTTTCTTCCACTAAGTCAATGCAAAGACCAAGCTGTCACCCAAGACACCAGTCATTTGTAAAATATGTTCCCTTTTCCTTTACCTTCTGAGTTTCCTATGATGAAACTTTTATGATTTAGGATGGATTGCAAGCTTTTGAGTTGTGACTATCATGTGCTAGATCTAATTCTCGACAAAAGTTTACGCACAGCTAATAATGTGGTTGCAATAATTTTCTTTTGATTACTTACCATGGAATTACTTATTGTCCTTAATCTGCACTTGTCTCAATGGTCTTTATTTTGATGTATTGCACAATCCAGTTTCTTTCTTTTGGCAAACATGCTGGGTTATGTTTAATTTGGTTATTAGCTGATCCTTACAACAGGCCATAACTGCTCTTAAGAAAGGCGCCTACTTACTCAAGTATGGAAGAAGAGGGAAACCCAAGTTTTGTCCCTTTCGACTTGCAAATGTAAGTCCCATTTCTTTCCCAAAATGATGTATTCGTGGACACTTGGTTCTTTTGCTTTCTGCTCTAGCGCGTCATTTTTCCTCAATGTAGTGTTTTAAAGTTGAGACTGAGAATTATATCTGCACCCACTTTGATCATTCTGTTTTTCACAATTATTGTGTGAGGAATCTATGTGCAGAAGTTTGGATTTTGATCAAATTTGCAAGATACTAGTCCAGAACGGCTTACTGTGATTAGCAGCAAAATTTGTGAAAAATGATGTTGGAAATATTACCAAATCCAATACAATAGGAGTTAATAGTTACTTGAGTCCTAAGGCATTGTGGCTAATTAATTTGATGGGAACTTTTTACTAAGTTTCGGTGTAAAATGATATTTTCAGATTTAGAAAACTATTATCCATGCTCTGTTTTGACCATATATAGATTCTTTTAATAGCAATTGACCGTCTCGTTTGCTAGTCTTGACTATGTGATGATTAAAACAGTGACTGACTGCGAGATTTTTGTTTCTGTTTCTATGTGTGGGTTCATCACCTGATCTAACCCAAAAATTACATCCCTAATTGGGGGAAGGTAGTGGTTACTGATTTTGTTGTGCCAGATACCGCAAAATATTACGAATTGAGATGGATGTTGGAACACTTTTCTTGTACTTGCGTGAAGGAATTATTGTAAATTGTTGTTGTGAATTTCATGGATAATTTATTAGCAAGTCATATCTACAATACATGTATTTCTATACCTTGACATAATTGCATTTCTTTGAAATTTTTTTTTGTCTGCCATTTTGTAGTTGCTTCTTTTCCGCTGTGATATGAATGATTAATTTAAGTCTCTTTGCTCCCATACAAAATGTTGAGAATGCGCTGAAAATCTATTCGTTGGTTGTGCTTGGTTTCAGGACGAGTCTGTTCTAATTTGGTTTTCCGGTAAAGAGGAGAAACATCTTAAACTGAGCCACGTGTCCAGAATTATATCTGGACAGCGCACTGTAAGTTTCCTGCCATGGAAGTGACTTTTCTAATTATTACTCTGCCACCATTTATCCAAGTCTGTGAGAACCTGATGGCTTGTGTACTTTGATATTTGGTGTTAAAATTATTGTGGTTCAGAATACATCTTATATTTTGTAATGAAAATCTATTAACTAACAGATGGTATCTAACTGTTGATGGTTCAAATTTGGTGCAAGTTGGTGTTTTCTGAATTCTGATTGATGTAACTTTACATAGATTCAGAAACAAAGAGATACAGATCAGTGGTAACCAGTTTTATACTGCAACTCCTTTTATCATCTCTTTTGGCTCTATTGTCAGATGAAGTTATCTACTTCCTCTGTTCTTTTTTCGTTTAATATCTGCATTCTGAAAAATGATGACATGTTCCACTCTTCCTTTGGCATTGAACTCATTTTCATATTGACTCTTGCAATGGAACACCTCCACCTCTTTCTTGTACTGTCAAACCCCATGTATCTCCACAACTATCAAGTCAACTACACGTTTCCATATAACAAAAAGGTAAGGTATTCTAAGGTGTAAGTACATTGAGCAAGCGTCTGATTTCATTGGTGCTTGCCATAGTCACTATTTTCCATCCCCTGCCTACCATTGGTTCTTATATTAAAAATTCTATGGTTTTTCTTATCTTTTTTGTCAAATAATTTTAGAACTATTTCAATGGTATTGGTTGAGGTGTTTAAGGAGGGGGAAGGGAGGAAAAGTGCCTTAAGAAGTTTTTGGAGTTTCAGGTGTGGCTGCAATACTTTTTTCTTTCATGGTGATAATGGATATTCTGAAAGGCTGATGGTGGTTGAGGTTGGGTTATCCAAGGAAGAATAGCCTTCTGAACAAGCATGGTCCCTCTAAGAAATTGCTACATAATTGTGTTCGACACATTCACCCTTTGTGGATATTCTTGGTAATATGTCTAGCACTCCTTTGAATCCTTCTAGAGATAAATAATTGAACTGAAAAACCTAGACAAGTGTTGAACACTTCTTGATTAATAGGAGACACTTCTTAATGATCAATTATGTAATCAACCATCAAAATGGACCACAATGTTCTTTCATATGAGATAAAAAAAAAATCATGCAATGCGCAAAATTTATTACTTTTAGTCAATAAGTGATATTTTGGTAAAATTCCATTGAAAAATGGTATTTGCTACACGAGTATCAAGGACGAGAAACATAAGCATGCTTCGCATGGGTTAATTGCATGGTCGGTGGGTATTACTGTGCATGCAATAGGCGTTTAATCACAATGCCAATTTAAGATGTTCAGAAAAAAAATTAGAGGTTCATGCCAGTGCACTCCAATAGATGATGACCAGGTCTACCTAATCTTTTCGGGGGTTGAAACTTACCTCAAATTTCTCGTGTCACAGTATTTGCCTTGATCAAACTTCTTTTCTCTCTCTTTTGTATCTAAATGATTAGAACCGCGGTTAACGGATTTTAGAGGTTTTATTGTGGCATTGAGGGGTATATGAACATCATTTTGCTGAATAAGAATGATCGTATTTTGAATAATACTTTTGTTTTAAAGTGACTGTAACCCTCTAAAGTGATGTGAATCATCTTATGGTTTTTGCACATGAAGAAGAAATACCAAAAAGCCTTAATTCTTCAAGTCCGTTCTTCTCTGCTTTCTTCAAGCCCCTCCCCCTTTCATTGAGGCCTTCTAAACTTTTGGCTGGGAAAATCATTTACATAACTTGTGAACATAGTATTGCCATGGACCATTTTGAGCTACTGTTGGAGTTACATGGAAACTATGGGGGTGTATGATGGATATCATCAAGGAAAAATGTATTTTAAATAGTGATATGATGAGAAATATGTGGTTAAAAAATAAGGAAAAGTTATTGATGTATGAAAAATATTATTTTTTTGAAAAACGTGTGGTTGAAAATGAGTTTTAAAAGAATGTGTGTCAAACAGGGGCTATGTTACAATTAATCTATGAAATGTCGAATGTGGTAACATTAGTGTATCTTCTTCTTGATAGACGACTGATTCAAGTCTGAAATGCAAAAGCTTCATGTCTATTTCACTATTGTTCATCCTCTTATTCGCAAAACTGGCATGTGTGTATTTTTCTTATAACACCCTCAAACACATTTTGATAGTCCTAGGCTGCTTATTGAATGCAAAGCTACGAGAATTATGTCTTTTCAAGTATTTGGCTTTGCTTGGCTGAGAACTACCTGCAGTGTGAAAAATTGAAGTTGTAATATATTGGACTTGAAAATGCTGAAAATAACTGTAAGATGTGTAGGGAAGTTATACTGAAGTTCAAAATACATCCTGCGTCATCCTGCTAACAAGTATGGGAAAGGATTTTCTGTGTTGGAAAGAATTTGACATTACTGAACTTTATGCCTATTGATATCTTTCTTCAGTATTTCATGTTAGCTTTACGTTCTGATTATATGTGATTTTAATATTTTTCTTTCTCCAGCCAATTTTTCAAAGATATCCACGGCCTGAGAAGGAGTACCAGTCCTTTTTCTTCAGTATTTCATGTTAGCTTTAAGTTCTGATTATATGTGATTTTAATATTTTTCTTTATCCAGCAAATTTTTCAATGATATCCACGGCCTGAGATGGAGTACCAGTCCTTCTCTCTGAAATACAATGACAGATCACTGGATTTGGTAAAGGATTCATTTATTATAGCCTAGTCAGTTGAAAAGAATTATTGAGACCTACATTTTTACTTTTTCGTGTCTTCCATTAAGAAAAAATCGAAGTTTATGACAATATTAGTCGTCCGAAATCTTATCCTTCAATTTGATGCCTTTTTTTCGTAGATATGCAAGGACAAGGAAGAAGCAGAGGTATGGATTAGTGGGCTGAAGGCATTAATTTCACGTGGTCATCAACGTAAATGGAGGACGGAGTCAAGGAGTGAAGGAATTTCATCGGGAGCTACTAGTCCCAGAACATACACTAGAAGAAGTTCTCCACTGCATTCTCCATTTGGAAGTGGTGATAGCTTGCAGAAGGTGAGTTGCTTCTTTTTCTTTTTTCTTTTTTTTTCATGTCCAAACGTGTAAACGCTATATGCCCCTTCTTGACACAGATTGACCTACTGTTCATATATATGAGGTGTATTTTTGTCCTTAATAATTTTGTTATAAATGCTATTTTACCTGCGCAGGATGGTGCAGATCAACTTCGCTTCCACAGTCCATATGAAAGTCCTCCCAAAAATGGTTTGGACAAGGCATTTTCAGATGTGATATTATATGCAGTGCCTCCCAAAGGTTTCTTTCCTTCAGATTCTGCTAGTGGTTCCATCCATTCCTCATCTGGAGGCTCAGATGGCATACCTGGTCACATGAAAGGAATGGGAATGGATGCCTTTAGAGTAAGCCTTTCGAGTGCCGTAAGCTCATCAAGTCAAGGTTCTGGTCATGATGACGGTGATGCCTTGGGTGACGTTTTCATCTGGGGAGAAGGCATTGGTGATGGAATATTGGGTGGTGGAGCACACAAGGTTGAAAGTTGCTCTGGTGTCAAAATGGATTCACTTTTGCCTAAAGCGTTAGAAGCAGTTGTACTAGATGTTCAGAATATAGCTTGTGGTGGGCGACATGCTGCCTTAGTGACCAAACAAGGAGAGATATTTTCTTGGGGTGAGGAGTCAGGAGGCAGGCTTGGGCATGGTGTAGATTCTGATGTCTTGCATCCGAAGCTAATTGATGCCCTCAGCAATACAAACATTGAGCTAGTTGCATGTGGTGAGTATCATACTTGTGCTGTCACTCTTTCTGGTGATTTGTACACCTGGGGTGATGGTCATTGTGGTCTTCTTGGGCATGGGAATGAAGTAAGTCACTGGGTGCCGAAAAGGGTAAATGGGCCACTGGAGGGAATACACGTTTCTTCCATTTCCTGTGGGCCCTGGCATACTGCTGTTGTGACCTCTGCTGGGCAGTTGTTTACTTTCGGAGATGGAACTTTTGGGGTTCTTGGTCATGGTGATCGGAAAAGTGTTTCAAAACCTAGAGAAGTGGAATCCCTAAAGGGGCTCCGCACTGTACGGGCAGCTTGTGGTGTTTGGCACACTGCTGCTATTGTTGAAGTTATGGTGGCAAACTCAAGCTCTGGTAATTCTTCAGGCAAACTTTTCACATGGGGAGACGGAGATAAAGGTCGGCTTGGGCACGGTGACAAGGAATCAAAACTTGTTCCAACCTGTGTTGCTGCTCTTGTGGAACCGAACTTTTGCCAGGTTGTTTGTGGACATAGCATGACAGTTGCTCTTACAACATCGGGCCGTGTGTATACAATGGGCAGTCCTGTATATGGACAGCTAGGGAGCCCTCAAGCTGATGGGAAGCCACCATCTCGTGTTGAAGGAAAACTTGCAAAGAGTTTTGTTGAAGAGATAGCTTGTGGTGCTTATCACGTTGCTGTTCTGACCTCAAGAACTGATGTTTATACGTGGGGGAAGGGAGCTAATGGCAGATTGGGTCATGGGGATATAAATGACAGAAATTCTCCAACTCTAGTAGAAACTTTGAAAGACAAGCAAGTCAAAAGTATAGCGTGCGGTACTAATTTTACTGCAGCTATCTGCCTTCATAAGTGGGTCTCAGGGGTTGATCAGTCTGTGTGTTCTGGCTGCCGTCTACCATTTAATTTCAAAAGAAAACGTCACAATTGTTATAACTGTGGACTCGTCTTTTGTCATTCATGCAGCACCAAGAAGTCTATGAGGGCTTCTATGGCACCAAATCCCAACAAGCCATATCGAGTTTGTGATAATTGTTTCAATAAATTGAAGAAAGCTATTGAGACTGACACATCATCTCAGTCATCTGTGAGTATAAGAGGAAGTATGAATCAGGGTGGTCCAAATGATCGTATAGACAAAGATAATAAGTTGGACACCAGATCTCATCCCCATCTAGTTAGATTTTCTTCAATGGAATCCTTCAAGCAAGTGGAGAACCGCTCTTCAAAGAGAAACAAAAAACTGGAATTTAACAGCAGCCGTGTATCACCCATACCGAATGGAAGTTCTCAACTGGGGCCCTTTAATATCTCTAAATCTTTCAATCCAGTATTTGGATCGTCCAAGAAATTTTTCTCAGCTTCAGTTCCTGGATCAAGAATTGTTTCTCGAGCAACATCACCTGTATCGAGACGACCTAGTCCTCCCCGTTCCACTACACCAACCCCCACTTTGGGTGGACTTACTTCACCAAAAGTTGTATTGGACGATGCTAAAAGAACAAATGCTAGCCTTGGCCAAGAAGTCATTAAACTAAGGGCACAGGTACATCTTGACTTGCTTACCATTTGATCATGCTGTAACTTTCTAATTGTTTGGCCTTCTTTTACCTCCTTTTGTCTTATGTTGAAGTTTTACACTACAATGGCAATGGGGATTATTAATTTGGGGAAAAGATGAAGATGCTTTTCAAATGATCAGCAGTTATTTTAATGGTCTCATTCCACTTCTCAAAACTGAGTCTTGTTATTTGCAGTGCATGGTACATTGTCCTCGACAACCAATATTTTGAACCCCCTTTCATCTCTCTTTCTCTTCATTCTTTTTGGTAGGGGTGGATGTAGCACTTACTATGCTTGAATAGTTTTTAGTTATTAAAATGTTTGCTAAAGATGTTTAACTTGAGGGGACAAATGCACACCCGTTATGCTCTCATGAAGATTTGACACCAGGTTGAAGTTGAGTTGGCACCACTCAATACACATCTGACTGTTCTTTTTTCATAGGTGGAGAGTCTTACTCACAAGGCTCAGTTTCAAGAGATGGAGCTAGAAAGAAATGCTAAGCAGCTGAAGGAGGCAATAGCCATTGCAGGGGAAGAGACTGCCAAATGCAAAGCAGCCAAAGAAGTGATCAAGTCACTTACTGTACAAGTAAGACCAGTATATGAGCTCATTAATTATATAAATGTTCAGTTTGTTTGCAAGTATCATATAATAGAAATAATGCATTATTTCCTGAACGGAATTGGAGATTATTTCAATTTGTTTTCAAGAACATTTGAGACAACTGCGTCTCAAAAAAAATTTCCTGTTCCACATGTCCTTGTCAGTTGCTGCTGTATGTTATATTTTTGTAATTGACAATGTCTGTATGAAATCCGACTTGAGAAAGATTTGGGATGCATCAAACTCATCCATGGAGATGTAGAAAGATAGATTTTATTAAAAGCTGCTATAGGCAGGCTTTCCTTGAAAGTGGGTTTGATACATATCTCATAGATGGAAAATTGCTTTTGACAACTAATGTCCTACATTGGAGTTATGATGACATATAATGTTACTTGACGTTATTTTTATAGGACTACTTTTACATAATAGTCAATCCAAGTAAACACACGCATTCTCTCCATTTCTTATTTTTTTCATTGGACATATTAATTTGATGAGGTTTATGCTTGATTTTGATTAATCCCTTTTGGTTTGTAGAAAACTGGATATGTGCTCCTATTTCAGTTTATTATACACTTCCTATTGGATGGCTTCACTTGTTGAAACAATTTCTTGTCTATACGTGTATAGCTGAAGGAAATGGCTGAAAGGCTTCCTGTGGGTTCTTCTCGCAACACCAAATCTCCTCCCTTTACTTCTCTTGGCCCCACTCCTGTATCCAACGATGTTTCAAGTGCCTCTCTCATCCGTTTGAATGGTCAAATAACTTCCCAGGAACTGGAATCAAATGAAGTAAGCAACCAGTTACTTTCTAATGGACCGAGCATTGCAAGTAATCACAGCTTTGGTCACAACGGACAAGGTCACCTAGAAGCAATGGCAAGAAATGGAAACAAAACAAAAGAAAGTGATTCTCGCAATGAGAATGAATGGGTTGAGCAAGACGAAGCTGGTGTTTATATCACGCTTACCTCCTTACCTGGAGGTCGCAAGGATCTTAAGCGAGTTCGTTTCAGGTATGTAGCATTGAACTCCATTCTGTCTTTGTTTTGGGCATATCATCTTATGAACCCCTTGCTTTATACTTGCTGGATTGGATAAGTTCGTAGAATGACATGATAATTGCATAAAACTGAACTAGTTTTTTATACTCTTGCCCTAGTAGTGAACATTAAGGTTAGACCAAGTTAACATTCATGGTATTGATATCCGAGAATATAACGGTGGGATCTGTTTGTGCCTAGTTATGATCATGGTATTAATATCTTTAAGGGATAATTGCAGCAAAGGTCCCAAACCTTTCAAATTTTTGCGCAGTTTACCCTAACCTTTGATTTGTGCCAGCGGAGGTCCCAAACCTTTCAAAAATATGCGTCGGAGGTCCAAATGGATGATTTCCGTCCGTTTGACCGTTAGTTGACCCAAATAGTCAAAATTGATTCAATTTTAACTCAATTCAAAAGGGCAGAATAGGAACTTTACAATTAACACATTAAAAAATAAAAAAACAAATAGAAAAAAAAAAAAGAAGAAGCTAGCACAGTAGCACACACTCTCTCTTTCCTGCAAACTTTGCCGGCACCACCCCATCAGCCCCAAAATTGAATCCAAATC